GGGGCTTGCTATGAGTCAGTATTGACTCAATGACAGTGAGTTTGGTTTGGGTTTTTGGTTTTCTAAGCATATGCTCCAGCATCCCCATGCTTCTTAGAAACTAGCATGGCAAGACTTCATCTCACGTACTTTGGAAATGTTACCAGGAGAGTTTCCTTACTTTAACAAGTATGGGACAAGACATCATACTTGGTAAAGTGGAGGGTGAGTGAAAAAGAGGAAGACTTTCAAGGAGATGGTAGTGGTTGCGACAGTTGTGAGGATGAGTCGGGACCAGCAATTTTCATTCTGTTGTGCATAGGGTTCCTGTGAGGGAACAGACTCGATAGACCCAACAACATGCTATCGGATGAAAGTGGTAGTCCTCTCTTTTTATATTCCTGCGTTCTTTGGGAGAAGAAGTCCTCTCAAACTCCTTCCTGTACTTTTCAGTGTAGTGGAAGTACTGAATGGATTGGTCAGGTTTCAGAGGCATTGGTTGGGTTTTGCTGCCTTTGAAGAGTGGAGCCTTGGATCTCCATGAGCTTATACTGGAGCAGGGCATTCTCTGGCCCATATTGTACCTGGCATTGGTGAATATGTTGGCCTTCCTTCTCAATGGGATGATAAGTTTGGGATTGGGAAGTGGAATGGCCCAACTATCTACTCTTGATTCCATACTACTTGGGCCTGCCACTAAGGAGAAGGACACTTCCACCGTGTGGCTCACTGAAGCTTATTAGAGCACTACACTGAGGTTTGGAGAGTGCCTACCATAACGATAAAGGAGTACTGTGCTTCCTTTTGTGTATTTAGTTCTCTTGGGGACCTCCCAGTAGGTGGATGGCTAGACCAAAGTAGAATTTGTGAATTGTAGTTCACCTGGCCATGAGGGTTTCTTTAGGAAAGCAACCCTTTAATAGCACCTCATTCCTTCATTAAACATTCCAGGAGAAGTTTTTATTTAAACACTGATCATTAAAGAGTTCATAAACATTATTGTGGCATTACTGCCTATTCTTGAAAGTTTATCTTGAAATCTGAGGGAGATGTATACATGCTTTGGGAGGAAAATTTTTACTCTGCTAATTATAGACCAGACAGGACAGCTGAATTCCAGTCTCTAAGGAACCTCAAGAACAAACTTTTCACTAATTTGCGATCATCTATAGAAGCACAGACTACTACTATGCAATTAACATAATTATGTGAGGAGCCAAAGCAAGTTGATTTTGTTAAAGTATAGATTTGGTAGACTTTCTGTTTTTCTTGTAGAACTTTTTCAACAAGGTGATCGGCATGGTCCTAACCATTTGGACGAGTAGAAGAAAACATTTGGGTGTGTGTGTATGTACATATGTCTAAATAAATATTTATTGTTCTTATAAGTCAAAATTTGGGGTCAATGTGTATGTAATAATACTTAAATAATACAGGTACTCTTTTATGGCTGTCCCTTCTGTCTTGTCTGCTACTATCTTGCATATTTTTCTTTATTTTTAAAAAATTACTGACGACGAAATTTCTGCTCAAAGGCCCCAGGGAATACCAAAAATAGACTTTGACCATCAGACTTGACCGGAGAATACTCCTAAAGGCCAACAAACAGTCTGAACTAACTGCAAGCTTTTCTTTGTTGGTGGTGGTGGGGTTGTGTTTGTTTTGTTTTGTCATTGGCTTTTTGTTCTGGTGGTTTTGTTTTCTTTTGTTGCATGGTTTTTCTCTG